CCGAGTGTTGATCTTTTTCACACCCCCTCACGTAGCTTGTCGTTGTTGGGTGTTTGTTTTTGCTAGTGCAGTGGATGATCATTTTCCCACCCATCGTGGAGCTTGTCGTTGTCGGGTACCAAAACGTCTTGTATGCCACTAACGATCGTTTTCTCACCCCTCATGGAACTTTTCACTATCGAGTGTTGATCGTTTTCACTCCCCCTCGTGGAGCTTATCTTTGTCGGATGTTTGTTTCTGTCAGTGCAGTGGACGATCGTTTTCACACCTCTATCGGAGCTTATCGCTGCTGGGTACCGAAATTCTTGTATGTCACTGACAATCATTTTCACACCTCTCACAGAGCTTATCATTATCGGGTGTTTTGTGTGGAACCAGTTGCCCGAGCGTAAAACACTAGAGATTTATCCTCTTTTATTCGTTGTTTGATCAGTGTCCACAACACATTTGAGAATTTCAAGATCATTTTTTATCCATGGTGTAAGACATCTTGCAGAGAAAATGATGAAGTAAGAGAAATGGGAAGTAATTCAATTCGTTTATAAGAATAAAAAAGCACATGAGCTATATAATAGTTTCATGTTCGTAAAATTTTTAAGGAAAAAATCTCTTCAAATCATCGTCGTTCCAAGTTCGAGGAACCGCGTTTCCCGTGAAGGTCTTTATTTTGTTTGCTTAAGGTCCAGCTTTATGGTCGATGATGTAGGAACCATTCCAGTTTTGATGCAACTTTCTCACTGCTTGCCCTCTTCTCACGGGTCAGCTTTTTTCAATACTAGGTCTCCGAGAGTGAACGTTACTTTGTGAATGTTCTTATTGAAGTAGCCGACTGTCCTCTACTTGATTTTTTCTTGCCATAGAGCTAGTTGGTTCAGTTCTCCTCTGTTAGGTTCTAAGCAAGCATTATTCCTTTGTTGTATGTTTCACTCCATTCCTCCAAGTTCTCTTCGTTGAAGACCGAAGTGGCGAGCACCCTCTTACTATAGCTGTTGCATTCACCAACAACAAATTTCCATCCCATAAGAAAGCATGAACAAGGTTTGACTTGTGGATGAAGATGACGTTGTTCAAATTGCTCATACTGAGGGGATCTGATCTGCTCATTTGGCCCTTGCTCCTTCTACTTTCTTCCTCAGGAGGTTTAGGATGACTTTGTTGTCGGCTTCTGCCTGCCCGTTAATTCAATGATGATGCACAGAGGCGAACTTGAGATTGACTCCCAAGGTCTTGCAGAAATCACAAGCTTTTTTATCAGTGAATTGCATTATGTTACTGTAATAATAACTAGCGGTAATCCATATCTAAATGGGCATCATCGTCCACTTGATCCTTAGATTTCACTTGTCAATCCAAGTGAAACCACCAGAGCAAATAGCGAGGTCTCACCAAACCTCATATTTCATAAGATTTTGGTGCGAAGGCTCTAGAGAAGGGAACACTCAGATTCGTTGGAGGGGAAACTTTCCCCAAAGATGTGAGGAAACTTTTGGCGTCGCCTTGTTGGAATGTCATTGGAGATGAAAAAGAAGAACATACTTCTTCTCCCAAGTGATGAAGAAGCTCTCCTCATCGGAGAAAATGAGAAGTATCTGGAGTTAGCCTTCCCCAAAGAAGTGAGAGAGGAAGCTTTCCTCATTGTCTCGTCAAGGTGCTACCGGAAACGAAAGAGATGACCGGAGAAAAGGAAGAAAATATGGAGAAAAGGGATGAAAATGGCTCCCCTGAACTTCTCTTGAAGGAAGAAGAAGAAACCTCACCAAAAATCCCCTTGGAAGCTCCTTGAATCCTCCTCTTGCTCGTAACTTTTCTCTTCACCAAATGGCTACCGATCAGCTCAAATGAGCCTTCTCTCCTGGTTAAACTTCCTCAAAGGGTCCACTTAAAGGATTTAAACCACCTTCCCCATTTAGAATGGTCTCAAAATGCTTTCTATGCCATTTTAGGGTGGATAACAAGGCAAAAGGAGGAGGACCAATAGTCTTGGCCACCATATCAGCGGGAAACCAAGGTCCGGAGGTCCGAATTCGTGAAACAGGTCACGGTGGCATGGTCACACACTACTATTCAAGGTGTCGCAGATTTGGGTCTGACGTGGGTACGCCCGATGTAATTATGTCGGGCACTCTGTTTAGCGGCGTGGCTACATCACCCTCAGGCGTGGTCATGCTGCCCAAAGGACCTGGGCCCCTCTTCAGATTTGTTTATAGTCACACCCATATTGCGACGTAACTACGCAGTATGTTTTTTTTTTTGCCAAAGCGGTCACACTACCTTCAGGCATGGTCATGCCGACTGTAGCTCATTTGGGCTCTTTTTGGAGGTCTTGGCATGGCTATACCCAGTTTAGGCATGGTCACGTCATAGGTTAGGCATGGCCACACTTGAATCAAGCGTGGTCACACCGGATCCCATAAAACTTAGGCCTCCTAAAAAGCTCGCTAAGGGGGTTTTGAACCTCGTTGGACCTGTAGAGGATCAAATACTAGCAGTTACTGTTTTGGGACCTCCGTAGGGGCTGCGAACGTGTCTCAAACGAGCTCAATAAGATAAATTGTGCACGTGTCGCTGAGCACGACAACTTTGATCGTAAAATTCGTTTGTCTGGACCTCAAGTTTAAGGAATGAACACGTATGGGGCAGCCTCATCAATGGTCTATGTCACAGGAATATTTGTACCAGCCAGCTACAGCCCCGTGCCACAGGAATGAATGTTAATGCAGCGGATACCAGAGGCGATGCTGGTCTGACCACGATCGATTCAAAACACAACTATAACGGTGTAGAACCCAACTATTGCGTTGTGCTGCTCTTCCTCATGTACTAGAAAAAGAGATTTAATAGAAAAGGAGAATTACACGATGATATACAAACTAACGACTCATAACAAGTTGTTGACTCGCTCAAGCTCGACTCGTTTGCTCCCCTAACTATTACTACAACTCCCAACTACAAGCTTGGTGGCTAACTGACTCTATTGTAGCCCGCAACTACGATCTATATGAGCAATTATTACTACAGCTTCCAACTACGGGTTTCGTGGCCAAATAACGTTATTGCAGCCCCCAACTATGACCTATATGACCAACTATTATTACAATCTCCAAATACGGTTTCAGTGGCCAACTAATGCTAATGTAATGACCAACTACATCCTCTGTGACCAACTAACACTATTACAGTCACCAACTACGGTATGTATGACCAACACACGATATTACAATCACTAACTATGATTTATGTAACCAACTACTACCGTTACAACTTTCATCCACAGCTTCTGCAACCAACTGATATTACTGCAATCACCGATTGCAGCCTTTATGACCAACTTAAGATTTTGCAGATTTCAACAACGATATTTGTTGCGAACCAATGCATGTGCAACAACCAAGCATGGCCTTTGTGACGAACTATTGATGTTACAACTTCCAACTAAAGTCACCAAGACAAACTATTATTATTACAACTAAGAACTACATTTGTTGTAGTCCAATACAATTATTATAGCTGAACTACTATTATACATCTATAATTATCAGTTTTATAATTCTATCTTATATAATTCAGGAGAAGAGTGGACCTGCATACTTACAATTACATAGTGGATCACTTTTACTAAGCTAGACCCCATGGTATTTTTCTTTTCCAGTGTTACATAGTGAATTACTTTGACTGAGCTAAACCCCGTGGTATTTTAAAATTTCTTTGACCTCCAAATTTCCTACACTTTTAAATTGAGAGGATTTTTATTAATTTATTTAAAATTTCAGCATTTAAATTTTTAAAATTAAAAAAGAGGGAGGATTTATATAAATGTCATACAATTTATATATATATTTATATATCTAATTTTTAACTCTTCATATTTACTTTTTTTTTTTAATCTTCATAGTTACTTATATAACTACTTATATAACACTCAATATTTAATTAAATTACATAAAAAATATCATTAATATTTATTATTAATATTTGAAATCTACATTTTCTTCCATATATTTTGATGTGATTGAGCTATTAAAGCATTATATAAGTGAATCTAATAATTTAGATATTAAATGGATAAATACATCAAAATAATTCTTAAAATGCAAATTTTATACGGATTGTATTTCAAATATGAATATTTGGCTACTTTTTAGAATTTTATCAATTAAATCAATTAACAATCACATATATTTTTTTCTAATTTGAATAAAATTAAGAGAAATTTACATACATATAAAATAAAGAGAAATTTACATACATAACATGTAATTCTTAGGCATTCTCATACATAACACCTAACATTTAGGGGTGTAAACGAGCTGAACACCAGATATTTCGAGCTTAAAAAGTGTGTTCGTGTTCGGCGTTTGGTGGTTGGCCTGTTTGGTTTGGCGAGCCGACCAGGAGCCGTTCACGAATAAAAAATCGTTTTGACAACATTAATCACATAGCTATAAGATGTTAAGAATTGGGGCAAGATTT